GACTTCTGCTTCATTGGCCTCTTGAGATCCTCATACTGGGAGAAATACTTCAGGGCCTGCCATGCAGATGAGCACAGTAGGCACCCCCTCAGCTGTCCTGCCTGAGCCAGCTTACATCTGTCCCCATCTGGGCAACCCCAGACCCAGCCTGGGGAGCTGGGAGCTGCTGAGTAACAGAGTCTCTGTGGGAACTTCCAGAACAGAGTCTCTGGCCCCCAGATTTGGGAGACACCCTAAAGTATCTGTGTTTCAGTTGTGGGTTGGCAGGGAGTTTATCAGAGAGCCGTAAGTGGTTGGGTCACAGGGGCAGACTCCTCTTCCTCCTCCTCAGGCTATAGTAGTGTCCTCCATGGCAGCAGGGTCCAGCTCAGTCCCACTTTGCACCCACCTCCTAGGTCTCTTTTTTTGGTTTCTTGTTTTATTTTTTTGTCTTTTGTTTTTTGAGACAGGGTCTCACTATGTAGCCCAGGCTGGCCATGAAAGCAATTCTCCTGCCTCTGCTTCCTGAGTTCTGGGATTACAGGTGTGCACCACCACGCCCAGCCTAATCTCTAGGTTTCCTTGGGGGTCCTTCAGGGTAGAGTGGCCTCTCTTCATCTTGATGACAGCAGTAGGCATGGGTGGGGCGCTCTGCCCCTGGGTGTCTGCCATTCCTCCTGAGTTTTGTAGTTTGTTAGGAATAGCTCAAGGGGAAGAAGGTCACAGCAGAAACTCCAAGTGTCCCTCAGGAGATCCCCAGGCTCAGAACCTGTCCTCACCCATAGCAGCCAAGATCACCCAACATCCCATATCAGGCATGAGACCAAAGTGGGAGCTCTTTCTACTTCTCCGCCCAGAAGCAGGCACATGGGAAGTAAGAGCTGCACACTTTGACTCAGACTATCCTAAGCCCAAGCTCAGCCCACAGGGATGCTGGACATACAGCCAGGTAGGTCTCCATGTGGGTCAGCAGCCCCTGCTCTTGACTGGGCCCCTCTCAGGCTAGGAGGAGCCCAGAGGCCTGCTCTGATCTCACCAGGCCCACCTGGCCCCCAGAGACAAACCTGCAATCTCTCAGGCCTGGCCCTCTGTGTGGTCTTTAACTTGGGGACACAGTCCTGCCTCATCTGCTCCAGAGCTGGCGTGGGGGCCCTGAGCATGGCACCAGCCTGTGGTGCACAAGGCTCTTCCCTGCCCCATCCTGAGAGCCCCATGGGGCCTCCACAGGGTGTCTGCTCTGGCTCCTCAGGGCCTGGGATGCAGGACAATTGATCCTGTAGGCAGGGGGCCACCCACGCCAGGCAGCCCCATCACCATCGACCCACAGTCTGCACTGGCTCCCTCCCCCCACGCTAACGAGCTTGCTGGGCAGGGCGGCACGTGCGCCTGTCTGCTTCGGAGCCAGGACTGAAAGCCAGCTCCACCCTGGCCAGCCATGGGGCATCAGCATCCTGCCCCCCACCCCGAGCAGATGGACCCCTGGGTTCTAAGAGAAACATGCAAAAGGGATGTTGGTGAGGCCATAAGGGTGCATAGGAGCACTCAGAGAGGGGCTCTCAGAGCCCTGCGGGGGGCGGGGGGGGGTGGATGGTGAGAGACTGCGGGAACAGAGAGGGGCAGGGTGGCAGAGGCCCTGGCCCCAGAGGGAAAGAGGATGCCCAGTTGCTGGGCAGGAGGGAAGAAGGTGGGGAGCCCCAGGTTAGAGATCAATTCAGGAGGACCTATGTGGGCTGGGGCAAGTTAGGAAAGGCAGTGAGGAGAAGACAGAGTGGACGCCGGGGCCCCAGGATGCCCCAGGGCTGCTCAGCTGAGCAAATGCTAGGTGAAGCAGGAGGCTGGGTGCGTGTCCAGAGACCCTCCTGAGGTGTGGCCCAGTTGCAAGGTGTGGCCCTCTCCTCTCTACAGCAGATCGGTCACCTGCTAGCCAGGGCCTCAGCACACCAACCCTCTAGGATCCAGCTGCCCCAGCTGCAGGAGACACCCACACCTGCTCCCACTGAGGATGGCATGACCCACAGCCCCACCTTTCCCTGACCACTCTTGCTCCTGGCCTCCCTGTGCCCTGCTCTCCCTCAGGGACCACAACCCTCCCTGCACTACGTGAGTGATCAGGATGTCATAGAAGGAAAGAGGTGCCAGTTGGACCCTTGGCCCAGAGGACCTGCCTAGCGGGGGACCTGTGTGTTTCTGCTGTGCCCCACGCTGCCTGGATCCACACAGCAACCAACATCCCGGCAGCTCAGTCTCACCAGGGCAGAGCATTGGCATCATGGGATTGGCACACGCTGCATACCAGGCTTTCCTTCCAAAAGCCAGCAGCCTATAGTCCACGCTCCAAAGTGCCACCAATGCCCAGCAAACTTGCCTGGGACCTGATCTGCTCCCATATTCTGGAGGAGAAAACTGAGGCCTAGAAAGGTATCTAGAAATGCCATCCTGGCCCTGGAGGGCCCCAGTGACTGACACAGAGTATAGTAGTCCCTGGCCATCGGAGTCCTTGAGCATCCCAGCCGGCAGGGCCGGGCCAGGGCACCCCGGCTGCCCATGGGCCCAGACAGGTGTGTGGCTGCACCCTCCGCTCACACCCATAAATCAGGCCGCTAATCTTTCACCGTCCGGCCTCTCGCGGCCGTGATGGATGGGCTCCCGGCCCTGCCGGCTGCTGCGAAATCACTCAGCAGGCAGACAAGCCCCTAAATCTGACGCTCGGAGTGTTGAAAGGAGGGATGTCTGTTTTCATAACCTACCTCAGTTACAATAAATATTTAAAATGCGCATTAACATCCTCTCGCCGCACAATCGGCCTCTGTGGCCCCGGCCTGCGCAGATTTAATTAGCTCCTGCTTCCCCCGCCGGCCGCGCTCGCCCGTGGACGGAAGGCCTCTGTTTTCTTAAACTCCCGGCCCGCCATAAATATCGGCCTCGTGCAGCTGGGCCCAAACAGAGGCTTTTTGTCTGGCTTGGCTTCCCTCCTAGCTTCGAGGCAGGGCCCGGTGAGTACACAGGAGCTGGGGTGAGGCCTGGGGCGTCGTGGCCCTGACCAGGGCCCTGGGATGTGCCCGGTCTCAGGGTGGCTGGGAAGACAAGGAAACCCCAGAGGTACAGGGCAAGCTGGCCCTGCTGGGCTGGGGCAGCTGTGTCGGGAGGCACCAGGCAAGGCCCGGGGGTTACCAGGCAAGGCCCGGGGGTTGTCCTCTGTCTTGAAATTCAGCTCTTGGTGGTAGGTGCCTCTGTCCTTCCCCATGTGACACCAGGTGTTTACCTGGGGTCCAGAGCCTTCCCTTGCTGTGTTCTGTCCATAGCAGTCAGGGTACTGAATCTGGCCCACCTCCAGATGGAAACGTCTATCTGTTGTTAGGTATAAAGTAGCTTCCAGCACAGCTCGTGGGACAGGAGATGCTGCAGTGGACAACTTTAAAATACACCTGCCACTTAAGCCGTTGGTAGCCAGGAAAGGTCCATAGTGTTAAGGCCTGCCCCTGACCCCAGTCATTCCCTCCAGAGACTCTTCCTCTTCTGTGGCTGTCCTTCCTCTTACCCTCCTGCTACAGGGCCTTTGCACATGCAACCACTCGGCTTGTTCCCTTGCTCTCATCTCTTAATTCACACATACTCTTTTTGTGCCTGCTCAGGTTCACTTCCTCAGGGAACCCCTCCCCTCAGGGAAGCTCTCCTGGATCTCTGCTCAGACTCAACCACTCCATTAACCTCTCTGCAGGCTCCTGGGCTCCTCTTCCTCCAGAGTGAGGCCCTAGCTAAAGTTCTGCATGATGCTGAGGTGTCAGCTTTGGAAAGGTCTGTTCCCTCTGCACCCCTCCCTGTACCTAGCTGTGCGTGCTCTTGGCACGGGTCCTGGCATTTAGTAGATACTCAGTAAGCACTTGCTAAATGAAGACAGGAAGAGAAGATGCTTGCGTCAGTGACAGCCACTGCCGAGAACGTAGGTTACTATGTAAAGTGCGTCTTTCTTTATGTCTGTTATTCATTATTATGTATTATGGATTTCACTGCATAGTTTATGTATATAGAATAAACACAAATGCCATATATAGAATACAAATATGTGTAAGGGACATGTTTTGAGGTACTGACCCATGTGGTTGTGAGCTGGCGGGCAAGCCACAGTCTCCGGGTCAAGCCTTTGAGTTAAAGCCACCTGACTGCAGGTCCTGACCTCACCTACACCTTCCCATCGGCACTTGTGGTCCTCACAGGCTCCGCTGCCAACCTTGCCCTTGGTGCTGGCGGTGGAATCTATGCACCTGGCCTCCTGGGCAGTTTCTTCTCCGTGAGGAGCTGAGCAGCACTGGACCCTGGAGGCCTCGTTCTTACCAGCTAAGGGGCTCCATCCAGCAAGCAATGATGATGTACTTGTGTTTGTGTGGCTCCATGCCCAGTCTTGGGAGTGGGTGGGAAGGGAATCAGGCAGAGTGAGGAGCAACAAAGATCTGCCCTTGTAGAGGAGGAGGTCGTGAGAGAAGGGCTGCTGGGCTTGGTGGGTAAGGACTCCATAGACCTCAGGAGATGCCTGCGGGGCAGGAGCTTGTGCGAAAGTGTCCTGTGCCTGAGTGTGTATGTGTGTGCACATATGCATGCACGGTATGCTGGGCTTGGGACTTTGAACAGCAGTGTATATGGGGGAGACAGGGGCCCCTCTGACCTGGGTGGGACACAGGGTGTCACCTCCCTAGCCTCACAGCCTGCATCTGTCACAGCCAGCCAGGACCCCTGAGTGTCGAAGCAAGGTAAACTGTGTTTAATGGGAGCCAGTTTTGTTTTGTTTTGTTTTGTTTTGCAGTATAGGGGATTGAATCCTTCTCAATGTGCAGCCTTCTCAATGACTTATGTTCCTAGCCCTTTAAAACACAAATTGAGACAGTCTCACTAGGTCTGTAAGTTGTCCAGACTAGGCTGGCATTTGCAGCCCTCTTACCTCAGTTTGCTAGCATGCTGGGATTGTAGGTGCGCACTACCACGCCTGGCAGAAGTCATGTTCTAAAATTGTCATGAAGACTCATCAGAGAGATCTCTCCAGAACCTTCTGGCTGGGAGTGGGCCCTGGATGTCCGGCCTTGGAGCAGTCAGAGTGAGCCCTGTGGCCAAAGCTTGTGGCCTAGACAAGGAGTCACAGGGGCAGCAGGCAGCACTCGGGGCCTGAGGTCAGCAGGCTGAGCTCCTTGGGGGTGGAACAAGCTGGGTGGGCTTCTTGGGGTAGGAGCCAAAGTCAGGCTGAGAAGGCTGGACTCTGACCCAAGGAGATCTGGGCAGTCCTTGGCCTGCCTGGACGCAGTCCCCCAGCCCATCTGCCCTAGGGCAGCTGAGGTCCCGGCATGTGTGGGACCATAGCACCTGTGCATGTGTGTGTGTGTGTGTGTGTGTGTTTGTGCATGCACGCGTGGGTCTCCCTGACAGCCAATGCTTCACAGGCGTCCGCGCCAGCTCCCACTCCCGCCTGCCTGTGCCTGTTTATGAAGCGGAGGGTAAGTGTTTAATTAGTTGCCTAATTGCCTGGGTAATTGGGAGACGTACTCGGCTCTCTGCGTAATCAGTCGGAACAAGCCTCGAAAATATCTGGCCCAATATTCATTAGTGTGGTTCAATCGTTAAACAGTCACCGTGTTTGGTTCATGACAAGGCCCAGCAAACAGCTGTGTGCCTCACAGTCGCCCACCCGTCCATCTAAGCAGGCTGTTCCTCACATGTCTGACAGACAGACAGATAGACAGCTGCTGGGCACAGGTGCAGGACCAGGAGGAGCTGCACCTCCCTGGGCTCAGCATCCTTTATAGACAAAGAGTCCCTTAATCATTGGCAAGGGGCAGCAGACAGGGTTAATGCACAGAGCTAGACACGGGTGGGGGTTGGCCTGTGGGCAGGGGCTGCACCAACAAGAGTGCCCCAACAGTGTGTGACACACTGTTCACAACTGTGCCCATTTTACAGACCGGGAAACCAAGGCCAGGGAGGCAGAGCAGCCTGGTTGAGCCAGGTGTCTTTATCAGCAGCCCTTGGCCCCTTCTGGATATGTGACCATTCCCTCTGTTTGTCCCTTGTCCCAGAGCCCCACCAGCTGACTATGCAATGCCACCACTGGCAGGTGCCATCAGGTGGGCCTGGACCCTCAGAGCAAGACACAGTGCTGTTCCACATCTGCCTGCTGCTGCGATTGAAGCCCCACCCTTGACCCCAGTGCCCTCTTTTACTTCTCGTGGTCGCCAGGGGTAGCAGGGTCCAGGGTCTGCATGGCCCTGACTAAGCCAGGTCTGCGGCCTGCCAAGGATGTGCCAGGTATTTCGCACAGGGACTGTGCAGTGAGGGTCCCCAAGGAGGAGGTGGGCCTGGAGGCAGGCAGGGGACTCCCAGGAAGTGGGGGCCCAGAGGGAGGGAAAGAAGAGCATGCTGGGTGGAGCAGTGTGTCCCAGGCCCACACGGGAGGGACATGGGAGACTGGAGGCTGGGCAGGGACGTGGGGTGCACGGGTGGTGGTGATTAAATGGGGGGGTCCAGCAGACATGGACAGCATTTGGAGTCATGGGAAGTCTTCAGGGCTTTAGGTGGGGACTGACACAGCTCCCTAACGTGTTTTGTTTGGGGGGGTTGAATTTTTTGTTGTTGGTGGTGGGTTTTTTTGTTTTTTATTTTGTTGTTGTTGTTGTTTTGCAGAACAATACTGGGGATTAAATCCGCAACTCTTTTTTAATTTTTTTGTTTGAGAGCCTCATTCTAAGTTGCTAAGTTGCTTAGGCCCGGCTTGAACTTGCCACCCTCCTCGTCCAGCCTCCCAGGGTGCTGGAATTACCATCAGGTCCTGCTAAAGCTGACATCATAAGCTGACTGTAAGGAGGATGTGATTCCCAGCAGAAGCTGGGGCATCTGTGCTCTTGTCCAGCAAACGTGAACACGGTGGCCCAGGGAAGCTACAGACACCTCTCACAGCCTGGCTGCACCTGCCCTGGCTCTGCAGGGGAGCTGGCTTCACCCCTGGGAGTCCTGGTCTCTGCCTTGGGAGTGGGAGATGAGGGTGGGGAAAACCTGCTCTCACAGGGCTGCGGTCTGCCCAACACTCTGCAGCCCAGACCCTTCCCACCACAAAGCGCCTCTGTGCTGCCGCCACCCAGATGGCCAGAACTGGGTGCTCCCCTGAGAGCCGCCCTGCACCTAGTTCTGCCCTTGTGGGGAAACAGCTGCTCTGTAACCCCACCCCCATGCCCTGGCAGCCCTGAGCGATGTTCCAGGTGACCAGCACTGGTAGTCCAGGAGCTCCACCTCAGCCTTGGGCATTTGAGGGTCACACACAGAGTGTCTCTTGTCCTCCTGGTACAGACATCCGGCTTTATGGCAACTATCTAGGAAGAGCTGAACCCTAAATCAGGAACCTGGGTTGGAGTCCAAGCTCTCCTGCGCAACCTTCTGTAAGCTGTTTGCCCTCAGTGCAAACATTCGCATTGTCTGTCATTTGTTGAATTCGAATAAAAATGGCACCCACTGGTGGGGTTTTGTGGAGATACGAACCTGGACACTAACTACATCGAAGGGATCAGTGCAGGGTAGAAATACGAGTAGCTATGTCTTGTGGTGCACTCCACATTGCTTGACCTGGTATGAGTCTTTCCAAATGTCACCTCGTTTGGCTTAGTCCTCCCTGTCACTTTTTTCCAACAGAGGTGAATGTCACATGACATGGAGTGAATCACCACCCATTTGCAAGGAGCACCTTTGCATCCACAGAGCTGTGGGGTCAGTGCACTGCCCCAAACCTTTCTCCCAAAGGAGATTAGGTGCCCAGTCGTCTCATGCCCTTCACCCAGGGAAACGTGGCTCATTTCCTGTGGACACGTTGGCCCTGCACATAGCCCAGCGTGAGGCATCTACTAACAGGCTTCCTTCTCTCCGCTGCGTGACCATGTGTGGTGCCATGTGGGTAACCCTGTGTAGACCCCAAATGCCTGTCTGACCAGGTGTTTTAACTGTATTTCCAGGGGACAGAGGGCACGGATAGGCTGCACCTGTTTCCTGGGCATGTGGTGCCTGATATGAGACACAGAGGGTTGGACAGAGGAGGGACCCGAGATGCACCCACTCTCCCCAAGCCCGAGATCTTATCTTCATTAAAAACTGAGATATTTTGTACACCATGGATATTCTTTCTCTAGGTTTATTGAAAAATTTATAATTAAACCCTTGATTTTTATTTACTCGTAGTCACATGCAGGTGTAAGAAATACTGTGGCACGCACTTTGCCTGTGGCAACATCCTGCAAAACAATAGTGCATTACCAAGGCCAGGAAACTGCCTGTGCACCGCCTCACGGACAGTTTCTATAATTGTATTTCCCCTATCGTGGGGCTTGTGCTGTTGTTGCTATGAATTTTACTCAAACAAGTGATGTAAATATCATGATGCATCGTAATTGTTTTGTTTAAGTCATCAATTGTTATCTAGATGCATTTGTTTGTTTGATTTTCTGTTTATTTATTTTGCAGTACTGACAATTGACCCCAGGACCTTTGCATTAAGCTACATCCCAGCCCTTTTTCTTTTTCTTTTTCTTTGGTAATTTTAAATTTTGAAGCAGAGTCTTGCTAAGTCACTACCTTGATGAGGATGTGCTCAAACTTGTGATCCTCCTGCCTTTGCCTCCCAGAGTGCTGGGATTACAATGTGTGTCACAGCATCTGTTTTAGGAAGATTTTACTTAGTGAAACATTGTGTCTGTATGTCCTCCAATCGTCACCATTTCCTGCTCTTCACTAGTGGTACAAGTTGATGTTTCTTCCGCCTTCATTTCCTTCTGGTCAAGAGGCCCCCTCCAGCAGTCCTTTGCTGGAATGGCAAACTCTCAGCTGTTGCTGGCTGAGAATCTTTGCTTCTCTTTTTTATGAAAGACAGTTTTGCTGGGTATAGAATTCAAGGTCCGGGGTTTCTAGTATTTGCTTTTTTTTTTGTCTTTTTCTTTCTTTTTTTTTTTTTTCTCGGTACCCGGGATCGAACTCACGACTGCCTGCTTGCAAGGCAGGCACTTATGCCGCTTAGCCAAATCCCCAGCCCTAGTACTTGCTTTTTATCTTCTTGCTTTATTTTCCCTGGGAAGTCTGTAGTCATCCTTGACTTTCTCTATTTGCCTGTGTCTTTCTCCTTTGTATTAAGTACTAAGTCATCTGATTCTAGCACACCCTTTATTGGACTTCTTTTGGTGTTTCTTAAACTTGGGGATTCAGTGACTTTATTTGAGAGTTGATAGTTTCATCAAATTTTGTAAAATTTCCAGTCATTATTTCTTCAAAAAATTTTTCTTCTCCCCTCTCTCCTTTAAGGACTCTATTTCTCTATCTATTAGCTGCTCCAAGTTACCCCCACAGCTCCCTGGTACTCTTCTCATTTTTAAAAAAGTTATTGTTCTGATAACTTCTTCTGACATTAATACCATCTTGTGTATTTTGCGCTTAAGACATCATAATTTTCATACCTGTAGGCTCAGTTCAGATCTCCTGTCTATCCCCCACATCTCCACTTAGATTTTCCAACAGTTACAGTTATCAAGCTCACGTTCCGGTCACATTGGCACCTCCTCACATCTGCGTCACTCTGGTCGGTTCCGATTGGCCACGTATTTTTATTCTGGATCCAGTCTCTCTGTCTAGTTTAATACATGATAACTTTGGATGCCAGGCACTGCGAACTTCACCCCCTAGGGCATTTTCCTGGCAGGGTATTTTCGTGTTCCTGTAATATGTGTGAGCTGTGTGTGCTCTGGCTCTTGCCAAATATTCTTCCCAACCCCCAGTGAAAGGGGGCTTTTTCCAGCCATGAGTCCGTGAGGGGACAGATCCCTCCCAGGCCCATGTCAGCCCTGGGTGTCTTCGCTTGTGTTCTCAGGCAGTTCTTCCCCAGGCCCTCACACACCGAGTAGTGCTCTACAGATCTCTGAGCGCTCTCTCTCTCTCTCTCTCTCTCTCTCTCTCTCTCTCCCCCTTCCTCACCGCCTTCCCCTTTTGTGTACTCTATTCTGAAATTCAAGCCACCTTGGCCTCCCTAGACTCTTAGCAGCCGTCTCCCTTCTGCTCAGGAACCTGTATCAGGCACCCTCTGGCTCCTTCCTCCCCACAGGTGGCCTGGGCCCCCCACCCCAGCAGCCAGACTCCTCATTTCTGTCAGGTCCCAGTCCTTCCCTGTCAGCAGTCAGTATTTTGGAAGCACTTGCTGCTGATACTTCATCTGACATTGTGGTTTCAGGCGTAGCACACACCTAGCCCCTGCTGCTGTACAGTGGTTGGAAGTGGACACCTTTGCTCATTGTTTGGACCTAAGGTTAGAACCACCATCTTGGTAAAATCAGATCCCTGACGCCACCCTTGAGGTGAAATTGGAGCCTCAGAGCCAGCCATGTCTGAAGCCAGAGAGCGGCTCCAGACAGTTATGCTCTGGGAAGCATAACTGTCCTGTCAAAGCCAGTCAGGCTAGGGCTTCTGTCTCTGGGAGTGACCAGCTGCCTCCAGGAAGCTCTCTGGAGGGACACACATGACTGAGAAGGGTGCAGGAGTTGAGTGCCAGGTGTCACCAGCCTAGGACAGGTCAGAGAAGACAGGGTGAGGGCTTACATTTCCTTGAGCCCCTCTGACCAGGTCAAGAGTAACCCCTGCTCTTCTCTAAGGCTTCTCAAAACACTAGAATAAAACCCAGAGTCTTAAGCATGGCCTCCTCTGGCCATACCTTGGTCCAGCCCTCCTCTAACCTGCATACTGCCTTGATCTGCAGTCAACAGTTCACCTGCACCCCAGGGCCTTTGCACCTACTATGCCAGTTGCTAGGGCTGATCTTCCCTTGGTATTTGGTGAAGTTTCAGCTGTATACCATGAGGTACCTCAGAGTCCCACACACAGTGAGCTCCAGCCGTTCCCTTCCTAGGGAACAGTGAAATAGAGAAGGAACAAAGAGATGGTTTAGGAAAGAAAAAGGAGGGGGTACAGTAGGCCCCTTGGAGGCTTCCTGTAACCCCACATTTCCCTGACATAGGCCCCACCACGGGCTCCCTCCCCAGTGCCTCCTAGACCTCCAACCAGCTCCCCCTGCAAAACATCCCCTGCACACAGAGAAAATGAGGGTGCAGAGAGGAAGGAAAAATAATTACTTCTCAGCCTCTAACCTTTCCGGCAAGTGACTCGGTAATAAATAATCCCCAGGCCCCTCCAGTGCGATCCATCAGCAGGAACTCCTAATTACTCCAGACTCACTCGGAGCTGCGTCCAGTCCCGCTTTCAAATAAATAAAAAATTAACACGGACCCAGAGCAGAGACCCAGAACTGCCTCCCTCCCAGGCCTCAGGAGGTTTGCAGCACCCAGATCTGGACGGAGCCCCCAGGGAGGGCTGCAGGCCCAGAGCCAGCCTGAAGAGACCGTTACTGGAGGGTTGGCTGCCCCATCTTGTCCCCTGCCTCGGGGCAAGCCACAGGGTCCCCTCATGCTGCCCTGACGGTTACCCTGAAGACTGTGGCTGGGTCATGCTGCAGTCCTGGAACAGCCATTTGGCCATTCCTCCTCCGCAGACGAGGGAGCTGGCCCCATCAGTGGCTGTGTTGTGCCCTCGTGTGTGAGTCTAGAGTCTTGAGTAAGGCAGCTTTGATTCTTTGCAGAACTGCCATGGAGCCCCTGCCCACACAGAGCCCAGACTTCCCCTCCCCAGTGACCTGGGAACCCCCTGCCTGGCTACACTCCTGAACATCCCATCCCCATCTCCTGTGGGGAATTTCCTGTGAGGCCCGGCCACCCCCACTCCGGGTCAGGCCTGGCTGAGTGTGACAGGGGCAGGCAGGTCCTTCTCTGACTGTAGCCAGATGGTAGGTGAAGAGGCAGAGGCTGGTACTATTCCTCCGGCCCTGTCCAGCTCTGACCAGGACACATGTGTCACCAGCGGCCCGTGCCTGCTGCCACATCCGCAGCACCTACTGCAGTGGGGTTCTCCAGCCTCTCACATGGGGCACTGGCCAGGGAAGAGCCCGGAGGGTCAGGATGGAGGACTTGGCCTGATGGGTCTGGAATGGACATTGCGGGCAGCTGGCTGGGGGTGACAGGGTGGGGGCCTCGCCAGACCCTCCGCAGGAGAATTAATTAAACGTGGCTCACTCTGCCTTCACCAAGCGATTTCTGCTGACCTCACCAGGCTGATTAATATTTCATTAGCCTTTAGGAGAAAGGCACGCACTTATTAACCTGCTACGTCAATCTGTCAGCACCGGGGCGCGGGTGGACAGTGTCCCAGGGACATGGGCAGAGTAATGACTAGTGCCTCCCAGCTCCTGAGGACCTCCTGTCCCAGATGGGGCAGCCTCTTCTGTCTGTCTGGTTTTGGGGTCCCCGGGAAGACTGATGTCCCCACCCCAGCTATACCCAGCTTCAGGCTGAGCCAAGTAGGGTAGAGGTCCCTGCCTCGGGCTGTGATGTCTCCCGAGCATTGTACACGGCCACGGCTCCATGGTTTTGGGCTTGCACTCAGCCTTTGTGACCTAAGCCTAGGGGTGGCTTTAGCCTTAGGCCCTAGGAATGCCTAGGATCGGGCCCAGGAGGCTCTGGTTTGGCAAAAGTGCTACCTGCCTAGCACCTCAAGGAGAGCTCTGTGTGCCACCTACACACCACGCCTGCCACCCCACAACCTCAGGGGTCTCTGCCCCAGCTCAGTGTTGCCCTCTGGGAATCTGCCAAGGTTTTACAAGCAGTCAGAAATGTTCGCGGACATTTTTCCGATTTCTTCATTCAGTGACAGATTCCATTTTCACACACAGCCCTGTGTCTGGTGAGTGCCTTGAGTGGGTATCTACATCAGCCTGGCACATGGTAGGTCCTCAGTAAACCCTTGTGGGATGAGCACATGGGAGTGTGGGAAGCAGAATACCCAGGATGCCCAGGCCAGGCCACCTTTCCAGGCAGCCCCATGTGCAGTCAAATATGGCCATACCCCTCACAGAGTGGCACGCTCACTGCTTCTCCGAAGCCTGGGGCCTTTGCACAGGCTGTGTCTTCCCTGAAAAAACAGTAGATGAGCAGTTCAGGAATTCTCAGCACACTCCAGGAGGCAGATAGGACTTGTGGCCCTGGAGGAGGGGACCCAGGACCCTGCATTCAGCCTGGGACATGGTGTTGTAGTAGGCACCATGGGGGATGTGGGGAGGTAACAAGCAGGCTGGCCAGAGACCTAGAACAGGGGCTGCCTGTGCCCCTCTCTGCCACCAGTGCCTGACTCCTTGGGCAGCCAAGACCAGGCCCCTGGGCCAACTCTTCAAGGAC